CGGTCCTCTGTCTGGTGCTTAGTAGGGAATGGGGGAATGGATCCCTATGATAGCCCCTTAAGGTCCCTTATAGTAGTCCCTATAACCCATTCCCCCTAAACCCTAAACCCTAAACCCTCAACCCTAAACCCTAAACCCTACCCTACTAAGCACCAGACAGTCCTTGGGAAGAAAGATGTGCAATGAGTCCAGGGTGGAAGAAGCATCCTCCTGAAGCTCCGACACTTCTATCACCAGAGTCGAAAAGGGTTTAGGGTTTAGGGTTTAAGGTTTAGGGATTAGGGTTTAGGGTTTAGGGCTTAGGGGAAACATCGTGTACAATGTAGGGGCCTTAATAATTGGAATAGGATTTTGGGGTTTATAATACTGAAGTTATTTTAAGGAACCCCCAAAAAAGTATAATGTAGGGGTCTTAATAATTGGAATAGGATTTTGGGGTAGATTATACTGAAGTTATTTTGAGGAACCCCCAAAAAGTCTAATGTAGGGGTCTTAATAATTGGAATAGGATGTTGGGGTAGATTATACTATAGCTATATTTTGAACCCCGCCCAAAAAAGTATAAGTAGCTATTCAGGTCCCTATATCATTCTGATTCAGGGTGCTATGCTGCCCCCCCTCCTATCTTGGCGTGTCTTTCAATCACGTTTGCTTAGATCCTTGTCAGAGCGGCAGGCCGTGTTGGGGCCGCTTTAGGGTTTAGGGCTTCGGGTTTATGGCTTGGGGTTTAGGGCTTAGGGTTTATATAGGGTTTGGGGTTTAGGGGTTCAGGCTCAGGGCTTAGGGCTTTGGGCTTAGGGTTTTGTGTGTATAGGGCTTCGGGCGTGTAGGGTTTAGGGTTTGAAGGGTCATACGGGGTGGGGTTCCCGAACACCTCGTGAGTCCCTGTTCTAGAGCCACGGCTTGGGAAGGAGGTCTTTTTTTTTTTGCTCAGGGCTTAGGATTTCAGGGTCTGTTATCTTATACTGATATTAAGGAGCACCCCCAAAAAATAGTATAGCCCCCCCCAACAAAAGAATAGTATAAGTAATCATTAAGGCACCCAAAATAGTTTCTTTCTTGTTTTAATTTCCCGGGCAACTTGCCAGTCTCTGTACTCGGAGCTGCGACTACATAGGCAATCCTGGCAAAGCTGACATCTGCAAGTTAGTATAGGGGCCTTAATAGTTGATAGGGTTTCGGGGTATAGTAGACTATTCTACTATTACTGAGGAACTTCCAAGGTACTGTTGATGATAGACATCCTGCATTACCCTAAGGACCCTAAACTATGGAAATTATGGTATATTCCTTAATATGGTTATTATGGGTAATGCAGGATTTATATCATCAACCGTAGTAATATTGGGTATTTGTTTAAGCCGTTATATTACATTGAAGCCTGCTGGGCCCGCAACCCGCGCCCCCAACTCGAAAGTGCTTGCTGACTTCCCCCGGAAGAATGCTCCCTGAACCCTCAACCCTATACACCCTGAACCCTAAACCAATAACCGAAACTCTAAACCCGAAGCCCTAAACCCAAAGCCCTATACACCCTGAGCCCTATACACCCTCGACCCTAAACCCTATACACCCTAAATCCTAAACCCTGTACACCCTAAACCAGAAACCCTATACACCCTAAACCCTATACACCCTAAACCCTATACACCCTAAACCCTAAACCCCGAAACCCTGAAGCCTGAGCGCTGTGTGCCCTGAACCCTAAATCCCAAGAACAATGCAGTGCTCGGCGCCTCCGAGTGAGGTCGGAAAAGTCGCAGAATCAGATTTCCACTTCTTGCCTGCTGGTCGCACGAGGGGAGAGTGATATGGGGGGCCTTAATAGTTAGAGTAGGGTTCCTTGAAAGGGCTCCTCAAAAGGGTTCCTTAAAGGGCTACTATAAGGGTTTCGGGTTTAGATGCGGGCTTAGGATTTAGGGCTCAGGGTTTTTTTGGGTGAACATGGAAGTGCGAGTCCAGGATCGGATCAATGAAGGGTCTGAGAGTCATGACTTAGCTTACGGCTGCGATGATTTGCAAAGACGTTCTAGTAGTAGACTAGGAGCTACAAACCTTCTACATAATTACACACACATCTATATATATATATATATATATTTATTTATTTATACACACTACATACAAGTCTATATGCATAACATAAATACATACTACGACCTCCTCGACCCAAAAACCAAGCCATACAGGTTTCTGGGAACAGACCTGAGGCTGCTCTCGCAGTTTGAGTTCAATGGCCTGCTGCGTTGAGGCTTGGAATGTGTATATAAGCACGGCAAGCGGAAAATGCAACGACTCTTCAAGAAGCCCCTACCTGTGCACCACAAGCAACGCACACCACTTGCTGCTTCACTGCAGTTGACACAGGACCATGCCGCGTTTCCGGAGTCACTCGGAATCGGAATGCGAATCCCATTCCGAAAGCAAGCAAAGCTCCGTGTACTCGCCGTTCATCTCTTCGTTCTGCTCAGCGAAAGCATCGATTTCAACCTGCTTCGCCTTTACCTCCTCCTTCAGACTGAGGTTGTCGACTCCGCAGCCATAAGTAGGGCTCAAGACCAGCATTGTAAGAACTATGCACATGTGGAGTGGGACGAGCACCACGGCCAAGAACAACAAGCAGCTGTTGAAGATGGTGGATGCCTCTCTTCTTCAACAACCAGGCCCAAAAAAGCTCAAACTTTTTAGGACCCTTAACCCTAAACCCTAAACCCTAATAGATAAAGCCAACAAGTTTAAAGTTCTCCTATTGGCTATCTAGGATGCGGTGCTCAGCTCGCCGCTTGCCGGCCAGCTGCATACATGGAACCCCACCTCCACACCGAAGGACGTGGCCGTCGAATTCGTCTTCGTCTCCGTCGTAACCTTAGTTGCTGAGTTCATAAGCCACAAAAAGTGTAAAACTTTCATTTCTATAGGGGGTTAGACTAGCCCAAAAAGTGTAAAGTGTACTCACTCAGCTACTAAGTAGCCCACATTTGCGATGTGAAGCAAACTAAGGCCTCCCGACAGGCGACTGCCGGCCTCAAGAACTTTGCTTGGAGCACCGGCAAGCCCATGGGTCGGTTCAGGGAGCCAAGGGGCAGAAGGCCATGGGGAAGATCCAGGAAACACAGCCCCGCCCAGGCCACGAAGCGTATTAAGATGAAGGCTGCTGGGATCCAGCCGGGGCCTGGGCCAGCAAAAATGTGGCTTTGCCAGAAGCTCTGCGTCTGTCCACCTGCCATGGCCGTGGAAACCAGCACGCAGGATGAGGCCGTCAGAACCAGAAACCGGTCAGATCCGGACGACCAGGCCGCCACCCCGTTCGCCGCCGCGCCCAGAAGGTATCCAGGCAGGGTGGCGAGGGGATGCAGCGTCGCACTCACCAAAGCGAAAGCTGCCAGCTCTGCTGCAAACGCCCCGAAATACCATGCCGATACCATCATGGCCTTCCCCGGGCACACAGCCTTTAAGGCATAGGCTTCAATCCCAACATCAGCCTGACCAGGGTCGTTTAATGCAGGGGCCTTCCTTAATAATTAGAATAGGGTTTGGGCCTCTTTTGCAGTAGAATTATAATATAACGAACCCCGAAATAGTATAGCTAATAATTATTAAGGCCCCTATATTACAGAGTTTCTACATCGGTTGGCGCATGCAACGGATCGCACGCTGCTTGGGGGGGCGGGGGGGGGGGTGTGCGTCAGGTGGGTCGAACAAATTCCGTGGCAAGCCTCAGCACACAAGACCTGGGTGCGAAGGGCCGATCTTTGTTATTTTATTCCAAGTTGCGCCGGAACTATAGCTACCCCATGCCCTAAATGCAACGACCACAAATGTAAGCACCGTAAACTCTAAATATAGCTAGCCTATAAGCCCTAGATGGAGCTCCCCAAACAAGAGTAAACCCTGAATATAGCTACCGTATAAACCCTTACACCCTAAACCACCTAAACCCTAATCCCCTGAAGCCCCAAACCCTAAACCCTAAACCCCCAGAGCCTAGAACCTAAGCCCTAAACCCCCAAACCCAAAAGCCCCAAGTTGACCCCAAAGCTTCGCCTCGAAATCCAGCCTCCCCTCGGCCATGGCCTTGGCGGAGCCCAGCAGTCCGTAGAGTGCGCTCGCCGCCTGGAGTGGCGTCAGAGGGAAGAAGATCGGACCAGTATAGTCCCTTATCGCAAGATAAGATATCAAGATCAAAACATGTACTAATATACTATATAGATGTAGGTATGTATATATATATATATATAATATCAACCGGTATACCACGAAAACTTTATTTTAATTTCTACTAGTAAGAGCCTGCATTGGCGTCAAAGAAAGCAGGGAGGCACCGTAGGGGCCGATGAGGCCGGTGCCCGGCGCTTCGATGACCCGCTCCCAGTACCTGGGCTCTGGCGAAGAAGCTGGACTTGAAGCTTTTAAGGTTTAGGAATGCACGGTTTAGGGTTTAAGGTTTAGGAATGTATGGTCAAGGGTTTAAGGTTTAGGAATGTATGGTTTAGGGTTTAAAGTTTAGGGTTTTCGTAACAAAGGGAGTATGCAATAATACCATTATCTGGCTTCCTTGCAAGTGCAAACTTCACCTCAGTGATCAAAGTAAAACAAGGGAGACCTATTAAACAAGGTCACGGCGTCAACCGTGA